CCTATCAGTCAGGAAGTCTACTGTACTCGCTCTGCAGAGTCTGGTGGGGTCCTTGAAAAACCAACTGGAAGTGCGGGAGGTAGAGTTGGCTGCTTCCTTGATATAGAGGGAGCACCCCACTGACAACACCCCATATCATGTCATCTGTGAGTCCTTGCACAAACGAGGGATTGATGCGACGACTAGCAGATGGGTTAATCGGATGGCTGCTAATCCACTATTGGATGTTAAGCGCTCACATGTTACTGGATGATGTTAATATACTCTTCTCTGTATCTTGTACTATGTACTAATTCTCCATAAAACTCCATTGTACCATTATATTTTTAATAAAAACCCCCTAATTTAATTAAAAATTTTAAAGCAAAACAAAATCAATTCGAAAAATGGGCAACACTACCAACTTGGTGTTCAATCGGAAAATTTTACATACATATATTGTTTAAGTACCGAGAAACACATAAATAACATCAAAAACACATAAATAACCAAAATAAAAGTAAAAACTTAACTGAATGGAAGTTACACCCTTATAATTTGGTACAAAATGTTACATATATAGCGTACTATATATTGATTATGCATATTTATGTTAGGTACAAATGTAGTGCATTATATAAAAATAAAACCACAAAAGCCACGACATTTTCAATAAAAATAAAACAAACTTTACTATGACTATAAAAAAAGAAAACTTTAGAAAATAAAAAAAAAAACTGTGACAATAATTTTAAATTCAGTTCACTGCTCCTCGATGCTTAAATAGTATTGATGGTATTCTATCATAACATTTTATTACACAGTTCGTTTCTAAAAATAGTTCTTGACCTCTGCGTCTATATTACGCTTCTATAATAAAAATATAAGAAAAAACCACAAAAGGATATTGCATTTATCAAATACATGAAAATAAGAAAAAAAAATTTCCATAATTCATCCTTCATTCTACAACCGTTATACAAGCAAATATAAACTTTTTAAAACAACTTAATAAAGAACAAAATTAAAAACAAAAACAACAACACGAAAGAAAAGAAAAGGGACGATAAAGGCAACAACAATAACAAAAAATTTTTTTTTTTTTATTTTTTTTGTTTTTTTTTTTTTAATAGTTTTATTTATAAAGTCGTGATAAAGATAAGAGAAGAAGGTAAAAAAATATACCGGTTTTTTGTTTACAGGTTGTTTTTATTCTAAATTTTCCTTTAATTGTACTTCTTAGATGTATATATATGTGTTAGTGTTGTTTTTATAATACAAGAAAAATCTAAAAAGCTTTTGGAGTGGTAATTGGTAAAATTCCGAAAAAAATTTAGATACGAGAGAGAGAGAAAGAGAAAATATTGTAAATTTTTTAAAAAACTTTAAAATTTTAAAACAAGAGAGCAACAAAATCGTTCAGTTTTTCCAAAATAACAGAAAAACAGAGAGAGAGAGAGAGAGATAGTACAAAGATAACAGAACAGAATGAAATTTTTATTCAAGATAATGTATATTGGTTTTTTGGCGGAGCAAAGAGAAAGAAAAGAGAGAATATTATATGAGAATGGAACTTTTTTCTTGTATAAATAAAAAAGTATAAAAGCAACAGGCAACGTTTGTAAGTTGAATAAACTTTCACATTTAAAATTTTTAATTAAATGTTATATTGTTACCAGGTAGATTAAAATTTGAAAAGAAAATTTTATGAGACACGCAATACAATTACTTAACTTCTGTTCTGTGTTCTGTTCATTCATGAATTTTTACTATAAGATTCAAATTTTATTATTGTAATTAATACCTTGCACTAGCTATTTGATTTTGCAGAGAATTCATGTATTTTTAAATATTATGTAAATTATTATTAAATGGCTTAATTTAAAGCCTTAACTATTCTAATAATTCAAATATAATATGGAGTTTTTAATATCATATTGTTTTGCCCGGATTGAATTTTTATATTAATACCCCAAGTATCAGTTTTCGACTTGATTGGTAAAAATGGGGTAGCAGTACAGCGTGACCACGCATAAGGATCTATTGTGCTTCGCGTCTTTCTCAGCACTGGGTATGCCCCTATAGCACTGCCTTGAGATTCACTGCTCTAATAGCCGTCGTGAGAGCAAAGTCTCCGAGTGTTTATTTTCTCCTGCCAGCGAGAGTAGCACGATAATCTAAAAGATGCACTGATATCTCCTCAGCTTCACCACAAAATTTGCAAGTGTCTTCATTTTCTAGGTCCAGCTTAGGTACCCTCTAAGCCTGCAGTGATCCGAAAAAATTCAGCCTGCCCCCTCTCTGAGACCTTATTTAGTTCAAAATGAACATTAGATTGTCCGATTCCAAAGAAAATAATATTTTTATACAGTAATACTTTTATAATCACTTTTCCATCATATATTATACTTCCTTTACATCATATATTATACTCAGAGAAAGCTCTACAGAGAAATTTTATCACTCATATACAAATACATAACATATACTTAATCATATGTATTTACCAACATTATAACATTTTGTAAATACACATGTTATCAACAATATTTTACAATAAAATCAAACTAAAAAAAAACAAAATGTGTATAACAACAAAAACAACAATAAGAACAATATTAAAAGAATACAAAAAAAAAAATTTAATATCATATCCAATTAGAATTAATTCCGAATTTTTGATTCCGAAATCCAAGAGAGAGGAAAACATAAAGAGCAATTGAATAGAGAAAATTTTTTATTATACTCGTATTTACTATTTTCTTTTCTTTTTTTTTTTTGCTCTCTTTCCTTTTTCACGGAATAATTTACTATGTAAAAGTAAAATGAGAAATTTAAATTTTTTTTTGGAAAATTTTGTCCATATTTTCTTATTCTTTCTTTTTTTTTCAATTTTTCAAAACAAAAATCATTCAATATCGGGTCTTCTCGTTATTACAACGATATTATTTGTTGTAAGTTTAATACAAAATACCGTTATTATATTAACCGTTATTAAGAAAAAAATAGAAAAATAAAAAAATTAAAAATATTCATTTTATTTTTGTTTAATTTTTTTTTTAATACTTACTGTTATACTACTGAATACTGTTAATATTTTCATTTCAATTTTACTTTATTAGTATTGTATTATTATAATACTGTTACTGCTATACTATTATACTGTTACTGTTTGATGCTACTACTGGGTACACTGTTGATTGCTATTCATTTCTTTTTCTTTCTCTCTTTTTTTCTTTTTTGTTTATTTTTCTTTTTGGATAATGTTATAAGAAGAGTATATTGTATACCGTTATTATGTGTGGAAAAGAATTTTTTTTTTATATAAAATGAAATGTTTACCAAAATTTGAGATCATTTCGTAAATAGATGTTGTCGTTGAATATTTGTTTATTTGATTTTTCGTATACATATATATATTTTAATACTGAATACGGTGGAATAATATTAGAAAAAAATATATTGAAATAAAAGCAAAAAAAAAAAAAAAAAACAGTTAATTAAATAATAATTTTAAATTTTAAATAAAAGACAAAAATTTAAATAATTTTTATTTTGATTTATTATATAATATGAACTTTTATAAACTGTTGCGGGAATAAATAAATTTATAACAGTTTAATTATTATTTTCGGAAATTTGAGAAATTAACTCTTTTGGTTAGCGATTTGAAAATATTGTAATACAATATTGTAATGTAATGTAAATTAAGTGAAATTTATGAAAAAAAATATTAATAACAATATTAATGAGAATTATTTATTATAGTACTATAGAAAATAAAAAGTACTAAAGAATTATTAAATTCACTTGTTTATATTGTGCTTTTAAATTGAATTGAATGTTGAATGAAAATATTATTGAAAAAAATAAATGATAAATTAAAATTATTAATAAATATTTAATAAAAAATTATAAGACAAAAAATAAATAAATTTTTTTTTTTGCATTTTAATTTTATTTTACTAATAAAATTGCGTTTTCTTCTACAGATCACATATAATGATATTAAATGTGGTACTGAAAAGCCAATATTTGAACTAAAACAAAAACAAACAAAAAATATATAATAAAGAACAAATAAAAATAAATAAAATTAATTTATTATCAAAAAATATTTGAAATTCAAAAAAAAAATCATCTTCATATTAACATTTTGTCTTGTCCATTTTTTTTTTTTTTGTATTTTTCATAATATGACTTTCTATTTTAACATTCAAAATTAAAAAAAATTATTATATATTTGTTAAAAATAAATTAAAAGAAAGCAAAAAATAAAAGTATTAATATTTAAAATTTATTTTATATTATATATATATATATATATATATAAATTTTTTTGAAATATAATTTATTCCAATAAATTCAAAAATAAATCAAGGATACCGCAAATTTTTCTATACATAAATGTTGTATATTTTTAAAAAATATAATGGAATAAATGTTCCATTCGAAAATTTTTTTTGCATTAAAATAAAATTTAATTATTATTAATTTTGTAATTTTCTAAAAAATTAAGGTAAAAACAAAAATTCACTAAAAATTTTCTGCCTTTTTATAGGAAAAATTCTGAAAGTATTCCTTAAAACTTATGCATACACTGCTAAAAATTATATGTGCAAGAATTACAATAAAATATTAACAATAAAAAATTAAATTTACATATAAAATAATGATTATTTCTTGTAATAATTAATTAATTAACAAATAATTAAGAGTTTTTAATTAATTAACATTAATTTTAAAATATTAATTAATTAGAGTGAACTGAAAAACAAAAAAGTCATAATATACAAACAACATTAAAATTATGATAAAAGAAAATGGAAATTTTTAAAAAATTTTAAGTAGTAGAAAATCAGAAATAAAAAATTGCATTTACGGTTTAGGAAATTAAATGTGAATTAAATGTGACTTGAAAATTATAATAATTAAATTAATTAATAAATAAATTAATAAAGAAAAATTTGAAATTTACATATTAAAAAATAAAATAAGAAGAGAAATAAATTTTTAATTTAATTTTTATGACTTAAACAATTTGATTTAATTCGAAAATATTTGAGAAAAGAAAGAGAAATAAAAAAAAAACGGAAAAAAATGGCGGGAAAAATTGGTAAGTAAATAAAAAAATATTTTTTAATTTTATTAATTATTTTTTATTAAATCTAATTGCATTTTAATTATACTTTTAAAATTGTAATATGAATTTTTAAGATCATAAGAAGAACATAGTTGAATCTGGAAAAGATAAAGAAATCTGAGCTGATATGAAAAATAAGTTTTGCACTACTATGATTATAAGGACGATTCCATTTTTGTTTTAATATCAGATTAGATTTAGATCTATTAAAACATAGATGAATGCTTGTTTTTTGACTTAAAGCATTCAAAGCGCTCAGAAAATTCGTATCTTGTATAAGGACTAGAGTACGATTAGATCTCACCTCAGGTGTTTGTAGAAATTATTCAAAATTCCAAAGAGCTAATATATTCTTCATTAACATTTTCAAATTTGAAAAAATATTAAATTACAGAATAATTTGATCGTATTCATTTTTAATATTAAAATTTATCCATTGTAAAATTTTTTTCCGACTAAAATCGGAGAGAACTCTGGCATAATTCTGAATCTGATTGTATTTAATCTCTGATTCTGATTGTATTAATTTTGCTCTTTGCAAAGGTAGAATTTCTTTGCAACTAATTTTATAAATTTTATTCACAAATTTAGTGAGCTGAAGAGTAAAATTTTTCAATTTAATTGAGTAAATTATGCCGACTAAATTATACCTTTGCTCAATTACTAATGTAATGAGGTCTTCTCGATTATACATAGAAAATAATTTCTCATTGAGTTTTTGTGATTTGTGCAAGACAGGGTTAAAGTTTAATTCACTTATGAAAATAAAATGATTTGGGTTCCTTTCAAATTTCTCTTATCCAGGTTCAGCTCTTCAAATATATAAAATAATGATTTTATAATTGAATTGGAATGAAATTGAACAAATAATAATTTAAAACTTTTAAATTTTTTTTTATTAAATGCACGGTGTTTTTGCTATAACAGTATTATATACAAGTATAATCATTTAGAGTTTTAGAAATCATATTGTTAACATTTTCTCAACATTATTTTTTAAGAGATTTTCTTCAAATTTATGAAATTTTGAAAATTCTATCGGGACATATTAAGGCTCTTCAAATACATGAAAATACAATTTATAGTTCTTCTCTATAACTGTTATACTTAATACTAGAAGATAATTAAATATATAAATAGTACTTTCTTACTTATTCCGCTATATTCCGCCAATACATACTATACCGTCAATTCTTCTCCGATTAGTAAGATTATTGCTATTAAATGCATAATTTATGATGACCATAAATATATCTAAGACCTTTTTAATCAAAATCATTTCAATCCTTAAATTTCACATTTAAGAAATTCTATCAGGTACGACGTGACAACAATATTGTTTACGTAAAAATCTTGAATACACGTGTAAACTAATATAGTAAATATAAAATTTATGGAAATCATCAACCATACTTTTTTTCTATAGAATTTTTTTTTTCTTGATTGATAACTATATTTGATGTTTGATTGTCAGTTATTTGATATTTTATTGACATGTATATATAGACGTATTATATAAGCAACTTGACCTTAAATGTTTTTATGAAAATGTATGAAGCATGGAGAGATAACGGTATAGCTTTTATATAAATAATACATTTACATTTTCCCAAGAACATAATAAGATTAAAATATTGATTTCATAACCATAACCTTAATTTTTCCTAATAAAATTATTTATAAAAATAAATTAAATTTACTTTTATAATATTAAAATTGCCTCCGAGTAACTCTGCTACGTAAAAACTGAATTTAAAATTTTAAATTTCGTAGATCGTAAAAACTTGCTTTATTGGATCGATTTAAAAATCTTCAATATAAATACGAACTACATCCAATACCCGTTTGTTCTACCGCAATCATTTAATTACTAAATAAGAGCATCCAATTGTTTTGATAATTACTGCCGAAATTGACAATTTAGCCGTTTTCAACTGATAGTTATTGTCAAATCCGATTTGGTTGACAATTAATTTCAAAACTTAATACAGAATTAATGGTAATAATTCCAAATTAATCTCATCTAAGAGAGGAATTCCACTTTTCGACGAAATTAATATTTCGACTTTTTTTTCAAATTCAGTAAGATCAAAATATTGCTGGGGTATAAATAATTCGGCTATGTAAGCGCAATAAGGTTAGAATGATTATTTTAATAGGAGAAATGTTGAAGACGTAATGAGAGAACGGACAAGAAAAGTATTTTTTCAATTAAAAATTTGCCTCAGCATTGATTATATTACTTATTACTCTTATCAAAAACATAATCAACGCAGAAATATTTAGAAAGTCATGGAAGCTTAAACTTTTGTTGATATTGAATGCACTCTCCATGTGTCTAATTATATCACGTATTGCGCTGTGGTTTATTCACATAAGCCACAGAATTTATGTGACAAAAATCAATAAAATGGCGCTAATATCAATTGAAAGAAAAGTAAAAATTTTTATTGACTAAAACTAAAATTTTATAATGAATGTCCTTGAGATTCGATGTAGACTTATACACTCTTACTCAACAAATATCAAATGAAATAAGAATGTATCTGTATATGACATACCAGACTTCATGCCATAATTAATTTACCTGACTAAAGGAAATCATTGAATTTTTTTTTCCATATTCCAAGAACTATTTTAAAAAAAAAAATTATTTAAAAATAAAAACGCAATTTAGATTTGTTCTTGTTCTTTTTTTTGTTTATTATAAAATAAATTTTCATTTTGTGTACACTACGAGACCAAATGCATTTATAATTGTTTTTTGGAAAATAAACGTGACTAACAAGAAAATAATTATTATTAAAACAAAAAAAAAAACAAACACCTACAATAACTAGATTTAGCTTAATTGCAAACACAAAACCACGCAAAAACCAAAAACAGAAAACAAAACGCAAGATAACACACCAAATCTTCAAAGAATAAACAATGCTATTCTAAATAAATTCTATTTTTAGTAACTAGATCGCTTTGATATTTTAATGACATACTTAAATACTATCGCAATAATTGCAATGAAGAGGTGAATGTAATTTTTGTGCGTGTTAAAATATAGGCATTTTTTTTTTGTTTTATATTAAAATCATTATTTTTTTGGAAAACAACACTTTCTCAGTTTCTGTTGAAATAATTATTTTGGAATATAATGTGTGTAAGTTGTGTTGAGCACGTATTTCTGATGTATATTTAATTTCATACAAAATGACAGAGAGAGCTTGTTTTACGCCATGAAAAGTGAAAATTATTTTGTGTAAGTAGATGGCTTTCTCATTATTCAAATGCATGGAGATTTAACTTACATGTGAGAGAGAGTGGCAGAGATTTATTTGTACGAAATTTTCTACTTCCATGAGAATCTTTCTCAGAGCGAAAGCTATAAATTCATATCATCTCAAAGCCTACGGAGCTTGAAATAAGAAAAAATAAAACAAGTGTTGAATCACGTATCTTACCATTCAATCTATTGACTGTTGAAGAAGACAAAAAATTTACAATTTAACATTAAAAGTTTCCAGAAATTCAAGATTTTTGTTTACTTTCAATATTTTTAAGTCCTCGTGTCATCCATATCGTATATTGGAATAAAATTTTTCAAAAGAAATAATCAAGAAATGTTGACCTAAAAAATGAAATACTCGTAAAATCTCAAAACTCTTAAGAAAATGGGGAAGAATAATAATGATTCTTGGAAATCAAAATAATTTTTCTTTTATTTTAATATTCTGAAAGTCAATTAAAGATGGGAGAAAGTACTTAGATATACTTGTACCTTAAGTGCTCTTTAAATACAATATTTTCTGTTAATAAATTATTTTTAAAATTAAAAATAAATTTTTAAAGTTAAAATTAAGATTTTCGGTTTAATAAAGATTTTCTCATATTTGCAAAATTTTTCATTTTGCAGCTCCGAATTTAATTCGGAGACAAATTTATAAATAATTCTTGAACAATTATAATAAAAAACTAATTTAGTTTATTATAAAAAAAGAGAGCGTGTCTAATAATGTCGTGTGTATTCAAGTATACTTATTCTTATAATCTCGTGTAAGACGGTAGAGCAATTATTGTGTGAATGCGAGAAGATGGCTCTGAGATTTTTCGGCAGAGGTTTTCTGACTTAAATGGAAGTTAAGCGATTTGAGGTGACTGGTATACTGCGATTTGTCAGGGTTCTAGGTATACTGATAATGTACATGGGAATGGGAATCATAAAAGATGGACGAGAGAAGGGTACCGACGGTAAAAATTATAAAATTCGAATAGGAGATTAGAATAGGAGAACTCTAGAATAGAATTCCATTGATCATAATTTGGCATTACCAATATTGTGGTGCAGGGCAGTTTATAGATTTGTTTCGTACTGCATTATAAATATAGAATTAATCTTGATTCAAATAGAATATCACTTTATCACTGAAGACAATTTGAGGATATAAGGCATTCAAAATAACCACACTGATTTTAAAAGTAAATTTCAACAATTCTGTGGTATTCTTTCAGTAAGAACCTACCCGTATAACGATTTGCAAAGAAAATACTGATTAATACTTAAAATTAATGAGCACACCATTCGGCCCAGTAAGTTTTTATATTTCAATTAATATGCCCATCACAATTAATTTGAGAAACTGCTCAAGATTTATTTTTTGTTTTTTACAAGGCTATCCGATAAATTAAAATTTAACTAATTTATTAAGGTACTCTACTTTTTCTAAATCCTGTCATTCCTGTACAGTTTTTAAAAACGTTTTCCTCATTTAAATTTGAAAATTTTTTTCAATTTAAAAACCATAAACTAAATGGAAAACCAAGAAAATGTCAGCAATTTTTCAAATTAATTCCAAGAAAAATATAAGCGAATAACAAAAAAAAATAGCAAAAATTTTAAAAAAATTTTCTGACCTGTTACAATTTTAATATCCTAAATCAAAACGGATAACGTACATACATACACACTTACAAATATAAAA